TACCAGGAGGAAATACGACAACACCTTTTGCAGTTACACCGCCAACAAGTAAGTTATTGAAAATTGTATAGTTAAAATAATTAAGTTTACCTTCTGTTTGCTAGTTTACCTTCTATTTGTTTAATATAATTTCTAGTAACAACACCAGAAGGAAATACGAAAACACCTTCTCCAACTACATCACTTAACCCAACAGGTAAGTTATTGAAAATTGAATGGTTAGAAAATAAAAAGAGGTTTATTTTTTGTTTTCTAGTTTACCTTCTATTTGTTTAATATAATTTCCAGTAAGAACACCAGGAGGAAATACGACAACTCTGTCTCCCGTTCCTTTATCTACACTAACAGGTAAGTAATTGGAAATTTAATGGTTAGAAAAAAAGAAGTTTACCTTCTGTTTGCTAGTTTATTTTCTATTTAGACCGCGAGTAGTGCCTCGGAGAAAGGAGGGACCGCCGACAACACATCAAGAAACGAAATAGCCAACTTTTCGCTCTTGTCAAATCGGCTCCGCCTTTTCACCCACAATTTTGTAAATTGAAATATCAGATATTGATATTTTCTGTGTTGGTGCAATGTACTCAGGTGAATAAGATGCTTGTGATGTTATTCTGAGTGTATATCCGCACCGGGCAAGCTTGAAAAATATGCCTGACCACGGTGGGAATCGAACCTACGACCTTTGGAATGCTAGCCCATATCAGATTTTGTTGGCATCACACTCAATTAAATAGTACAAAAAATGTAAAACAATGTCGTGTTGCCATGGCTAACATTACACGACTTATACGAGTAACGCGAGCTGGCAATCAGAGTTGGCGTGATTAAGAATACTTCTTGTTGAAACAACGTTTGGAACATGTGGTCGAGGCCCGCATGTATTTCTGGTTGCAATAGTATAAATATGCAACAATATGAAATGATGGAACTAGGTGTAAAGTTGTACATGTTGATACATGTTGTGTATCAGTTCACGTGTCAATGCTGTAGCGCATTGTATGTTGGCCAAACACGCCGACACATTCACGCACGTATCTCAGAGCATTTGAGAGTCTTGCCTTTGACTGGAAAAAAACGCTCTATCTCAACCATATCTAGCTCACAAACACATGCTCAAACACCCAGTCTCCGCTTCCGATTTCAAAATTCTATCATCAGGCACTTCTGAGTGGGATCTTCTTATCCGTGAAAGCCTATTAATTTCTCAAATTAACCCTTCCTTAATGCTAATATTAGATCTACCCCTCTTGAGTTATTTTAGTTATGTAATATTAACCTTAACTATACTAACCATGCACTTAACATTAATATTTACTTATTAACTAGTTACTGATAAGTTGTTTTCCTTTCTTTCTATTCATTTGTCCTTTCAAATTATGTAACCGTTTTTGTAACAGTAAACCATTATTTTGTAAATATATATACCATACCCTGTAAATCCATTTAGATTGCCCTGAAGATGTTGCATTGTAAACAACGAAACGTTAGCTAATTAAATTTTTACCTAAATATCGTGCCAGGACTCGATTCAGGACTCGAGCCAAAAATGACGTCAACCGTCGTCAAGTGATTTTGATGGATGAAAATTTAACAACAGCGTTCTCACTTTTAAGGAACTTTCTTTAAATTTCGACTATTCGTTCACCAACAATGCGAAATGTTTAACGAAATTTAACTGAATCGGAGGAATTGTTTATCGATAACCTAAGGAATGTTTGGCAAATGGGAAGTGAGAGAACTTGTTTACCAAATCAATTTCCCGCCAGATTCGATAAAAGAAACTAAAGAACGAAAGTTGATATTTGGTATATTTGTACATACAGAGCTCTCATTCTCATCTGACTTTGGCTATTAAAGGGCCGATTACATGGAGCATTTTCAACCCCGGACTTGAACTCAGCCCTGTTAACCGGGTTGAAATTTTTTGCGATTACATGGACGATTTCAACCCCGGGGTTAAAACGTTATACTATACGTTCTCGGCATCGATTCGCGGAAGTAAAAAGCCTTTATTTTGTTTTCTTGTAATAAATAGTCACTACCACGCATGCTCGAATAATTCATGATAATTTCAGCCCTGGGTTGAAACGATTACATGACAAAATTTTCAACCCAGGGCTGAGTTCAACCCCGGGGTTGAAAATTTCAACCCTGCTAGCTGAAGCAAGGTTGAAATTTCAACCCCGGGGTTGAACTCAGGCCTGGGTTGAAAATTTTGTCATGTATTTTAAATCGCGCGTTTGATTTTGATAGAGTTTTGTATTACAGACAGGGCTGAAATTTCAACACGGTAAACAGGGCCGAGTTCAACCCTCGGGGTTGAGAATGCTCCATGTAATCGGCCCCTAACTGTAACGGTTATTAGCGTCGGAAGACAGTGAATGAAACAATAGTCAATACCATTGTTGTTGTTTGTTTTTGATATATTGCACAAATATCGATATCCAAAAAAGGTAAATATCCAGCCAGTATTTTATCGAACTAAAACAGTTGGTATTGCCCATCACTAACAGTCTCTCGCTCTTTACAAAACAGATACTTGTTGCCCTCATTGCCGCTTAGCATTCGTCAAAGAGTAGGATAATTCTCCCCGCCTTATTTTCCTGTAATAGACGCCAATATCACCAAACTGTATTATAGAAGAGCCGGACACGCTGGCTAACTGTATTACCAAATACACCCTTTCGATAATTACACAGTACTTTTTGGTCTTGGAACCTCGCTCTCATTGCTAAATTACACAAGGTGATTAGCGTAATTATTGAAAGGTTGTAGTAGCTAGCCTGCGTAACGTGTCTTATGAAACAAAACCATTGGGTAATGGCAATTCCCCGTATTTTCGCATTTTTTTATCGAGTCCTGACTCGAGTCCTGGCTCGAGTCCTGACTCGAGTCCTGGCTCGAGTCCTGGCTCGAATCCTGACTCGAGCAATAGTATATCTCCATTTTTTTATTTTTTGTCTTAAGGCGGAGCTAATCAGGTCTATTTTAAATGTGAACTTTTAGAATATGGGCGATAGTTTTACTTTTCATTTAACCAAATTTCTCAGCCATTTCGTGAAAAAATTTGTGCTAAACAGAAAGTATTTTTAATTCTAAGTCTGGTGAAAAAGTCATTCCGTTATTGCGTTTATATTCTGAGCAGAAATCGAGAAAAACAACTTTGTGATTAACCCATTAAGCGCCAGCGCTCTCCCCTTGACGAGTAAAATCGTCTAGCGTTAGACAGAGTAAAATACTAAAGTAGGGTGCATCAGGGTGCAATGCAACTCAATGGGTTAAGCAATAAAGTCACAAAAGAAGCCATTTTGAAAGCGTGTGCGTACAAGAAATACTGCAACACTGTTAGTGACACTAGTAACGTGAACAGGTCGAAAACAGTTTTATTTCTGAATTTTAATTGAACTGATATTTGGATATTTTGTTTTATTCCATTAAAACTTATACAAAAACAATTATTCGCCTCAGGCTCAGTGGTTACAGTGAATATAATCTCTTCGCCTTCGGCGAATAATTGCTGCCGAGCGTCAGCGAGGCAGCACACTATTCTTGACACGCTTGGGTTTCCCCAGAGTCCTTTCGACCCAGTCTTTCGCGCGACCTAAGTATTGTCGAGATCTCGACTTGTTTTGTGTTCAATTCAAAATTAAGACCGTTCTGACAAGTCTGGCTGTGTTAATGGAAAGCGCCCTTAGTTCCCAAGATTTTACGAGCTTTTTAATATAGATGCAAACGATCTACAACATTTAGAATAATTCAGGAAAAGATGGTTTTATTTCTTTCTGTTGACATACATGAAGGCGTTGAACTTTTTTGTATTCGATATAGGGATATTTCAGCCCACTAATCGATTGGTCAATGTCCTAATACAAGGAGTCAATTCAGTCAAAGTGTACTAATACCTTTAGCTTTGTATATGTTTATGTAGCGGTTTGTCAAGGCGATAAATTCATATTGTTAAATAATATATATATATATATATATATATATATATATATATATATATATATATATATATATATATATATATATATATATATAGACCTTATTCATAAATCGTGATGAGGCCTCGTATCCTAGGAAACGGGGAAAAACGCGGGAAAATTGACAACATGTTTTTTTGCTGTCGGCTATGGCAGCTTTTTTTCGTGAATATTACGGTTTTTTCAGTTCGAAAATAATATCTATAAAACTGAGCTTGAAAGTTGAAAAAAATACTTCTGAGAAAATATAACATGATATTTAGAGCAAAAGATGCTGGAGTCAATCGAAAAAAGAAACCTTTGACTTTGTATTATTGTCGTAGTTTGTATGGCCAAAACAAACAACCAACAAGGCTACAAAACGTCTATACAACACCAAAATCGTAAGAAATATGAAACTATTGTTGAAGAAATAAGATTACAACTCACTCAGGTAATGTAGCCTTCATTTTTTAAACTTGTAAGCTGCTTGCAGAATGTTATCGAGCCAGAGCCATAGTTCATATTTTCCCGTATGAATCAATGACATTTGACGTTCTCTTGTGATTTTTGACCTGTTGTTTTCTTCCACATTAATGTCAAATTCGAAAAATTATACTTTCATTCCATAGTTGTCTTGATTTTCCACGGAATAACCTTTATATTGACGTTAAAATCTCAGTAAAATACTGTTTTTCGCTTCTGGATAAACACTGTCGCTACGTTGTCATTTTTTCCACACAAAAACGGGAGAAAAACCGGTCGCTTTTATAATATACTCGTTTACCGCTTTCGTTGTGGGCACAAAGTCTTAAAATACACACAAAAATCGTTATAAATCGCAAAAAGCAACAAGAAACAAGCGGTTAAAGTCGACACAATAGCATCTGAATTTGGCTTGTCAAGCAGTTTTCGCTTGTTTTCCCGCGTTTTGTTCCCGTATCCTAGGATACGAGGCCTCGTCACGATTTATGAATAAGGTCTATTAGAATAAGCTTTTGTATCCATTAATTGTAACACTTCGATATAGGACATTTGAGGCTTGACGAAGGAGAAGATAGAAGACGGGTTAATGTCAAGGTTGAGAGTTGAATGCAGCACATGCGACAATGTAGAGGTGTTGGATACATCTACCAGTGTATCACAAAGGGGAACATCTTTCGACATCAATCGACGACTTCCGTTCAGCTCTATTGAAACGGGTGGCGGCTACGGAGGTCTGGCTACACTGTGTACCATTATGAACATGCCATGTATGTCAAAAACTGCATATTATAAACAATTATCTGGACCATTCTCCTAGTCTTAGAAAGAGAATGTCTGAGTGAACTGAAAAGAGTGGGTGAAAAGGTTCCTAAACCTGATTTTTGAGCAACAGCGAAAGAGAAAAAGAGGCGTCAAGGGGAGAACTTATGTTGTACTAGAAGGGAAGAAGCATTGAAGGATGCTGAAGGTACCACATATGAAGCTGGTGCCTTCTAATTACCTTCAGCAAGACTTTGATTTTGAACTTATGTATATAGACCTTACATTTACTCATTGTAAACAATCCCCAAACGTTAAAGCCGTTTTCTCAAAATCGCCCATTTTACCCTTTGAGAAAGGATATCTCTGGAACGATTTAACCAATTGACATGAAATTTTCAGGATTTATGTATCTTACCATTTTCTTGGGGATGAACAGAGGATTTTTTAATATATATTTTCTAACATGAATTATTGCATAAACATGTCAAGCAAATTTGTATGGTATATTTAAAACCTCGTAATCCGCTTAGTTTTCAAAATTTTCAAAAACCCTCTGTTCATTCCCAAGAGAATGGCAAGATACATATATCATGAAAATTTCATGTCAATTGGTTAAATCATTCCAGAGATATCTTTACTCAAGCTCAGTCTATCGCGAAACAGCATGTTGCCACTTTAACTGCCTGGTTGCCAATAGCAACGCAGTTTTGGTGTCCAAAAATATATTTTTTGAATCTTGAGTTCATTAGCTATCTGATGATATATAGTTTGCCAGAGGTTTATTGTAAAGTGTCCAGTGTGCAGCCTTTGTTCTGTGAGCCTTAGTTTTGGGTTGACCCTCCCCTTAATACGTCCTACTCTACAGGGTGTCGCAAAAAAACCCGAAAACTATTGAAATCACTTATTGTTAAATTTGAATGCCCTACCAAACAGCTGGACGTAATGATGCGTAAAATATTGACAAGGTGCATGTATTAGAATTTAGTTAGGAATATCTCCTGGTAAAGTGCGCGTTTTCTGCTCCTGGGAATTAAAAACAGCTTCTTAAACAGTTTCTTTATGCATAAAATTTACTTATGTCAATCATTTATGCACTCGTGGGAACCAACAGCGCGCTAAGGCATTCAAATTCTAACAATTAAATTGTTATTGGTGATTTCAATAGTTTTCGTTCTTTTTGGGACACCCTGTACAGTATATTTCTACGCATACCAGGGCTGACATGAAAAATAGAGGCATTCTGGCGAGTAATATCTTTAGAAAGATACAATTTGAGTTGCGCTTGTGGAATGCAGCAATAGCCGAATTCATATTAGGGACGGGAAACTCGTCTGCGAAAACCCGTCTGAGTATGAATTTAGGGACGGGTAAATTCGAATTTAAGACGAGTTTCCCCGTCTAACTTTCCCGTCTGTTTAGACGGGTAAGTTAGACGGGAAAGTTCAGACGGGAAACTCGTCTGCGCCCGGATTCATATTAGACGAGTTTCCCGTCTGAGACGAGTTTCCCGTCTCTAATATGAATTCGGCTATTTGATCTGGAGATGAATTTGGTGTTTTGTTAAGCCTATTTTTCAAAAATAATGAATAATGAAAAATTTTCGTGCGGCAGATAAAACAACGGCTGGAATCTGAGGCTAATAAAACCCATGCGGGCGGGGACGAGAAACTTGATATCAATTTTCATTGGCCTAACAACAACATTGTAAAAAGCATTTGAATATTTTAGGCCAAGTTGAACTAACTGTCGAAATATTGCCATACAGAAATGTTTATGGATGCATTTAATTATTATAAAACTGTTACACTACAGTACATTATTCTCAATCTCGTCTTACAGTACTATGGCTGATAGCCAACTCGTTGCTATACGCACCTCGTCGGCTATCAGCTCATTTCGTAGAACACTATAATATGAATTCCGGATGTATACCAAATAAACATACATATACTGATAAGTAATATAGTAATATACCCGTGAAGAAACATATACGAACACGTATTGCAGAGCTCTTTGAGTAAAGGCCTTTCGTATAAATACAAATAGTAGCCTTAGTATAGGGTTTTTTACCATCGTATCTGCAAGAAATCTTTCTAGGTTAGCAATTGAGTGCCGTGCCTTTTTATGCAGTGTATTATCGTTTCGAGGTTTATTTAATATACGATAATGAAATTGATACTTTATGTTAAATTGCATGTTATCGATATACATGACTGGGATTTTCAAATATATGTACTTTACTTGGCTGAAACCAACAAGGGAACAACATTTTGACGTACTTTAATTTCGTTTTCAAGCTAATATATAATTATATACACTATACTTGCCTTTAATTAATACTATACATCTATAATTCCACATAATGATTATTCTTATATGAACGTAATGTATCTTACCTTGCCTTGGACTTGCTCGGACTTGCTTATGTACCTTTCTTAATATTCGGCTCGGACTTGCTTATGTACCGCAATGTAGGATGACTGTGAACGGACGCCTGCTTACAATCGCTGTTTGGACGGTGGCACGCCATTGGCTGAACCATGGTAATTGATGGTCATTGTGGTTGACCAATCAAGGACCGCGTTTTCCACCTCACGAATTGAAAATTTGAAGCCGCCCTTTTTTTGTAAAATCTTGTATTTGGACAAGCATTGGTGTAAGACATTGTGTAGGACCATGCAGCATTCAAAATTAGTTATTCTTTACCCTGCCTACGTGTGGTGATATATAAAGAACAGTGTTGCAACGAGTCGAGTCATTAACTCGGACTCGAGTCGCAATTTTCTGCGACTCGACTTGACTCGATTACGAAATTAAAAATGACTCGACTCACTCGAGTCAACTAGCTCCGAATGACTTGACTCGGACTCTACTTGTTGATTTCTGCCTTAAATGACTCGAGTCAACTCAGCTACAACTTGTTCAGGATAAATTCATAAAAATATTGTAGTTGAATAGGTTGCAAAAAGTTCTGAAAAAGCTTGAAGAAATTCAAATAATTCTCGATGCAGATAGGCATGCATGTTTCCACATGTAGAGAAATTTTGTGCCCCTTTTTTGTCCAGACCACCATACAATTCGTGTAGCCATTGATCGACTCGACTCGAGTGAATGACCCGACTCGACTCGATCGACTCGAGTGATCGACTCGAGTGAATGACCCGACTCATGACCCGACCATTGGGTGACTCGACTCGACCTGTTGGTGACTCGTTACAACACTTGTAAAAAGTAGGCAAACTACAGTTATAGGGTAAATTAATTAAAATGATATTGGTAGAATTTATGTGGGACATGACAATAGGAGAAGAGGTTTAAGAGTGAGGGATTGAAGATGAGTAGGAAAGGCAACCCTTATTTTCTTCCCTATATTTCCTTGTTCTCCAAGATCACATGTTCCCAGGTTCCTTATATGGTATTTATCCGGCTTTGTTCCCTTAATGCTATTGCAAAATATACTTTGTTCCCTAGGAGACTCTCCGGTGAGAAATCCTATCCGGCCTTCGTTCAATTGGCCCAAACCTGGAAAGTGAATGTTCTACCGTACGAAGGTTATATTTGGAAGGAATAGATTTCAGACTGAGATCAATTATGTTGCACAAAAGATAAACATTTTGCATAAATAATGAACATAATCGGAAAATTGTAATTTTAATAAACACTGTATTCGATTTCACAAAATTCATAACATTGTATAGGAGGCCTGCAAATAATTGGACAAATGTCCGGCCAAGACAAAAATTGGTCGGACACTTATTAATATCTGTTGCACAATGGACAAAGTAGGTTTAATAAACGTTTTTCATATTTTTTAGAAATTATCATGATGTATTTCGGCTGGTCATGTTAGAACCACTGCAATGCATCTAAGACTGACTATATATCTGCTAGAAGTGTGCAAATCCGATCCGAATCAGAATCCGATTTGTTCGGATTTCGGAACAAAAATATTCTGGATTGGATCGGATTGATAGAGTTGTTTCGTATAGTCTGATTGAATCGAATCGGACTTCGATATTCGAAATAAAATGAATTAACTATTTTATTTTTAACTATACTTCAATTGGACGTCACTTTGTCAGCTTCTTGACATGTATTTATTGCTTTTATATTTATTTGGTTAAATGTTTCCACTTGAATGAGCCGAAATTTAAAGGTTCTTCGGATCGGATCGGAATTCTTTATCAAAACTCGGATCGGATTCGGATTAGATCATTTTGGATCGGATCGGATTGGATTTTAAACTTTAGCCAATTGGATAAATATCCAATCCGATCCGATGCACACCTCTAATATCTACCAGTTCTAAATGCATCAATAAATTATGGTTCAGGTTATATATAATGGTAATTTGCAAGCCTGGTAAAGTCAATCATAGTGGATATGTAATCCAATCAATATCAATGTAATCTAAATAGTAAAAGCAATCTCGTCTGGTTCCACATCTTTGCCTCCTATCGCATACAGATTAGCTTATTCAACCGGAGTCGACAGACCAGACCCGTTTTACATCCATAACTCCCAAGTACTCCTGCCCAACAGGGTTCACCTTCCTCCCTCGGATCATGATAACATCTAGGAATTGAAAAGGAATCGGTCGTCAGTCGATATATCTGAATAATTTAACATCAGGGGCGGCAGAAAGTGGAATGTTTTGGAGGGGGAAGACATTGTCAACTACAGTGATACAATTGTATTAGTTTATTAGACTTGGAGAAACTCCCCCCCCCCCCAAAAAAAAAAATGCCAGAAGAAATCAAGAAATTCTACATATTCGAGTCACGAACAATGATCACTTTTGTTTCTGAAAGCCAATTGGCTTTGCGAAAAAAAAAATGAGCATTGTTCGTGACTCGTTCTTTAGAAAGACGATTTCTATAGTTTTATTGTCTTTCATTGTTATAACCACCCAACCACGAGGCTGGATAGTATAGGTAGATGATGAAATCTTTACCCGACTACAACGCTTGGAATATCCCATTGTTCAAATCTCGGACTAAAGATTTAGCTGATGACAGGCGCTTGCCATATTGTATTAGGAAATCGGATGTTTTAAATTAGACTTTTAACATTTGAGCCAGTTTTAATAATTATTGCTTTGATATTTTACATAGGACGATTGATGTGATTCATAGCTAATGTTATACATATTTAATTATCATCTAATTTAATTATTTTAAATCTATATAATCGTATAGCTTGAGTTTTTCGGCTAGTATTTCATCCTCATCCCCAGGCCCAAGCTCGGGCGGCCCTCCCGAGCTTGGGCCTGGGGACGAGGTTGTTGGTATTTGTGCAAATTGCCATTCAAGTGTTCAATAAATTATATTCCATTTCAATGTACATGCCAACTGTACAGAATATATTCGTGTGCAAAACATGAGGATATTAGCATATTACCCATATACAGGGTGTCCCAAAAATACCCAACTGACTATTGAAACAACGTATTGTTAGAATTTGAATGCCCTGGCACTAAGCTGAACGCAAAGGGGCGTAAAATATTGACAAGTGTGCATATAATATAAATATTGACCTATTAATAAATTAAATTGTTATATAGCTAGCGTGAACACCAAACGTGATTGGCTGATTTGTGGTCATGTGACTTCAGATAAATGCAATGTTTCCCGCCGGGCAACAAGTGAAAAATTGTTGCCCGCCACGACCGGCCACGTGCATAAATAAACAAAATGGCGGCACAACTACGATAATTAGAAACTACGATTTTCCAAGTTTGTGTTCAAATAAAGAATGTAAAAGGGAAGAAAAATACAGAACAGGAAACAGGATATGCTGCCGAAACCGTTTAAGTAGGTTCTTTAATTTTAAACTCGTTTACTCTATAGAGTTTTTGCCGCGAAAAACAATTGTTGTATATGAATGTTGTTGAAGTTGATTTTTGTTCGTCGCTATATAACAAAACACTTAATGTCTGTTCCCTCGGGAAATAGTTAGTTTTGTTTTCCCTCGAATCTCAATGTTTCCCTCGACTTCGTCTCGGGAAACATTGCCGAGACTCTCGGGAAAACAAAACTAACTATTTCCCTCGGGAGCAGACATTAAGTGTATACTATCTTTGTAAAGAGCACGATTATCTACTCTTGGGAATTTAAGGCGGTTTCTTAAATTCTAAAGGCAAAATGACAAATTAAAATTACAAATTAGTCGTATTATCAGTTCGGGCGAAAATGGTTCACTCACCACAGAACAACGACTTTTTATTTTTAATAACGCTGCAGCGTATTACATACAGGGTGAGTAAAAAAAAACTGACACCTTTGTTATTCAAATTAGCCGCGAAGGTATCAGTTTTTTTTACTCACCCTGTAAATCTCTCTTACAAACATTCTTTCTTTTAAACAGCTTCTTTATGCATAAAATTTACTTATGTCAAGCTTTTATGCACTTGTAGGTTCAACAGAGTCCTGAGGCATTCAAATTCTACCAATACGTTATTTCAATAGTTTTGGGTTTTTCGGGACACCCCGTATATTAGGCTTTTAGCTAATGAGAAAACGACAGCGAAGTACAATGGGTAATAATTAAATCTATTCGATCGATTAAGCAATCATCCAAAAAGTTGCTTAAAATATAAACTAATTTTTCAATATTTACACGAAACTCGTGAAATTGGAGTCTGCCACAATTCGTATGGAGTTCACGTCATCACAATAATGGCGTTCAGAGTCTCAACCACAACCTCGTACCCAGGCTCTTTCCACTATGCTCTCCGGAAAGAGCCTGGGTACAAGGTTGTCTCAACCACTGGGCTAATAACATAGCTCAGTGGTCTCGACTACTCGTTCCGCAGCGGGATAAATTATAACATGCAGCTGATATAATATAATCATATCAAAACATTGAACTGTTCAATTATAATTTGTGTTTTGACTTGTAGCCATAATAGAAATACCTTCCAATTGTTTTTGTTCTAGCATATTCTGTGTAAGGCAAAACTGATAAAGAAAGGTACATTTGAAGGATCATATTTTCTAATTTCTCATATTTTCTGAGCAAAGTTTTGCATATATATTCAAATAATGATTGAACAGTTGAATACTTTCATATGCATATTCTAATCTTGCCAGTCTCAGCTACATGCCTTACATGTTATAATTCAACCTCGGCGCACATGCAACACGACTCTGAATTTACTAATAAAGCAGTATTGAATTTTTGCAAAAAATATTTCAAATGCTTTTTGAGTTGTTAATATATTGGTCTGCGTTGACTAACCTACCTCCTTGGTAGTCCAGGATGACAGCTCAAAGTAGGCCCACAAGGCCTGGTCGGCATATGGCATAAATCACCCAACTTGCCAGGTGCACGACATTTATGTCTGATCCATTCGCAATTCAGGCCAGAACCACAAGGCTTGGTCGCGTGGCATGAATCACCCTCTCTTCCTGGAGCACGACATTTATGATGCCATGCCTCGCAAGTCAGGCCAGAACCACAAGGCTTGGTCGCGTGGCATGAATCACCCTCTCTTCCTGGAGCACGACATTTATGATGCCATGCCTCGCAAGTCAGGCCAGAACCACAAGGCTTGGTCGCATGGCACGAATCACCCTCTTTTCCTGGACCACGACATCTATGACTGCCCGCCTCGCAGGTCAGGCCAGAACCGCAAGGCTTGGTCGCGTGGCACGAATCACCCTTCTTTCCTGGAGCACGACATTTATGATACCATGCCTCGCAGGTCAAATCGCCACCACATGGGCAAAATAATGAACAGCCATCACCCTCTTTGCCTGGGTTACAGCTCCAAAACCAACCGTGGACATTTATTATGTTAAGTTGTACCAGTACAACGACTGCAAGTATTCCTGCTTTCATAATGATCGGGAAATGACTTCTAAAATATCAAGAAATAATTTCAATAACCAGTACGACTGATAAATCCAGGGTTTATTTTAACATGCAGTCCTACACAAAATGTGCAGACCCATTTGTGTAGTTCTTAGAACACAAATGTGTAGTTACCAACGAATTATAACCTTAAAACATTCTTCTCATTTACTCGTTACCCTTGTGGACGCTCCAGAAAATTCCAGAAATGCTGTCATTCACGAGCATCAAAATATAAACGTCTTCTGGGGGAGGATCCAGGGACGCCGGAACTGGGGGGGCAGGGGGGGCGGCTGCCCCCCTTGCCTTTTGCTAGGGGGGGCAGGGGGGGCAGAAGTGCCCTTTTAGTTGTAAAATAATACGTGATAAATCACATTTCCAACGATGCTTTTTGTAGGAAAATCACGAGATTCAGGTAATTTATAGTTTATATTTATAAAAATTTTGGGAAATTTTTTGAATTTAGAAACATATTTTGAAGAAATGGCGAAAATTTAAGATATCCGGAAAAATTTTTGGCTTCACGGAAAATTTTTGTATGTCCAGAAAAAAATTTTTGACCCCTAAAATGGTACACTGATCGAAATTTTTTTGGTAAAGGTGCCCTTGGTGTGCGTCCGCCCCCCTTTGCCCTATTATCGTTCCGGCGTCCCTGGGAGGATCCCAGACCCTCCTATTTTCCGCACAAACATGCACTTAAGGCTCTTTTCCACTCATTGCAAAACCAACTCGCAAGCTAGCTCTCTGCGAGTGATTACATCTAATTAAAATAAACCTTCAAGCATTGTGATTTGATGAAAAGAGCCATTTTGAAACTTTTTTGGGGAACACCCCCATAGCTCTTAAATTGCACCCAAAATCGAGTTTGTCTGGCCTTTCTTCCCACCCAACCACACCATTATTCTGTCACCTATATGCTGGTAAAAAAATCCTTTGAGCCCGGCCCCCTCCCCTCAGTCAAACACACGTTGCTTTCGCAGCCGATCCCTATATGTGCAGTTCTAAATTTTTCTTAACATAAACCCTGGGTAAATCCTTTGATTACAGTGGTGAAGTGAGCCGTTGATGCATGACTACTATCAACAACGATATACTGTAGTATAGATTATGTCTTCGTAAACTGAATTGTGGATAGTGGTATTGTCATGGACAATAATATGATATTTTGATGAATGAAGAGAGGTATTGAATCACAGGTTTCTAATTACTCAGTTATCTGACATATATGAATCTACTATAGTTGTATTATAATATCTATTTTATGGACTAATTTATTTTCAAAAATAAATTGGGATCAATAGGTCGCAACATCCCCACTAAGTATAAAATACCTAATGGGAAAAACGTACCCCCAAAGGGAATAGATAAGCAAAGAAAACAAATATCCGGCCAAATTTTTATCAAATAGATCTTCTGCCAATCACTTATTTGGAGTGGCCTTATGTAAATCAGCATAATTTTGTATCAGATATATTAGAGATATAAAAACTCACGCGCATGTTTTTTTTTGTGTTTCCCTCATGCATGAAATATCCATTCGCAGCTATCTAGTTACAATTATATAATTGACGGTTAAAGCAGCTCTAAGCCTCTAAGGAAAAAGTGCGGTTCAACTAAATTAAATTAAATTGCGGTTCAATCAATTTAAACACCAACAGGAATGCTAAAACACAAGGCAACAGTATAAAATATAATAAAACAGTTTCCAAAGAAATGAATCTTGAAAATATCTAAGATATGGACTGAAGGAAGAGAAAATTGGAAGTCCATGCATTCATATTTGACGTACTCGGAATTTGTTCGGGCACTAATTGATTTTGGACACACTGAAACTGCAAGAATAACATATATTTTCTACGAAAAAGCAAAGCCTTCGGACTTTTCTATTAATAAATGCTATCTTCTAGTGTATTTATAGTATATATCGCGTGTACCACATGATTAAATCATTAAAGTTACATAGAGTAGTATGGCTGTACCATTAACTCCGGGTATCTGGAAACGTACAGTTCAGCGAGAAAGATATGCAACGGTATATGTATACGATCAAAGGATCAACCTATGTTGAGATCTTTCGTTACTGAGTTAGTAGAGGTTTTTACTCAAAACTTTTTGGGCTAACAAATTTAAATGCGGCGCCTGCCTACTAGGTGCGGCGTAATCGCGCTTATGTTTCGAGGCGCAATCGCGCTTATATTTACGATTAAGAAATTGAAACTTTGTACTTATACGTTTTCTATACTATTTAAGTTAGTTTTCGACTATATATACTAAATTTTGCAGAAACAACCAAGGGAACAACATTTTGGCCTAGTTTAGTTTCCATGCGTTGTATAATTGTTAATATCAAATATAAAATATAAAAAGAGGTGTCAGCTTTGTGGCATTAGTAGTATACTTGCATGAATGTGGTAGAATCTCAGGAAATTAACATTCATTACATATAATCATTGTCTTACCTTGGCTGTAGAAGTTTATTCGACTTGAAAATTTTTACCAGCGATAAGCGATCTACTGCAGTTTGGTGTTAAATGAGTTTCGAAACAACTCCACCGGAGTTTAAATAACTCCCTGAAATTAACAGTGCGTAATTAAACAATTGTGAATGGTCGGGTCAGTGTCAATAATATGATATTTTGGCACTGAGTGAAGAAAGGTTTTGAATTTCAAACAAAGCTAGATCCCTTTGTTTGGCGAAAGCAAATGCCAAAAGTTTTAATTTGATTACTCAGTTATCTGACGCCATAAATTTACTAGTTGTATTAGGCTATAATATTTCGTATAGCGGTATATTACATATCTAAATAATATATAAATAATATATTAAACCATCAAAGTAACACTGTCTTAAACTGGTTCGTTATATGAGATCATAGCGATCCAGTGGTTTCAGTGGGGGGGGGGGGGGGG